CGAACCCAAGCATCCGAACTCACGCGGAGTCCGTTGTGTCGGAGTCCGGCTCCTCTCCGGGGAGAGGCGGACTCAGACGCGTCGGGGCCTCCTCTCGGGCCAAGGCAGGAGGCAGAAGGGAGGGAGAGAGGACTGGGGGAAGAGTGGGGGATGCGGGATGGGGGCAAGGGTGGGCAGGAGGAGGTGGGAGGATGCAGGAACAGGCTGCGGGTCATGGGATCGAGGGTCAAATTGTGGGTGCTTCGGCCCTTCTTGTTCTTCCAAGAAGGGGAGGAAGAGGAATGGGGGAGGAAGGTCATGATCAACAAGACTGCGATGAAATCTCATACACAAAAGCATCAGAAACAACATGTGCGAGTGTGAGCAGCGGATGGTGATGGTGGTCGTCATTGTGGCGAGAAAGACGTTGAGAATTACGCCGGCGAGGGTGAGGAGGACGGAGGGTACTAGATCTGCCCAGGGATAAGGTGCAATGGGAGAAACAGCAGGATGATGAGGAACTCGATCAAGAACAAGAGTCGATGTGAATGTGGATGGAGGTGAAGGAGAACGGGGAGAATGAGGAGGAGGCGGAGGAGGTGGGGGAGGAGGATGAGGATGAGGGAGGGCGAGGAGGAGGAATAAATTGAGGAGGAAGATGAACCGTTGTAGTTGTACGTTGGCGAGGAGGAGGCGGACGTCGAGGAAGATAAGTAGGAGGGAGGCGCGAAGAGAGATGATGCGAAGGCGGGTAAGGATGAGGACTACGCAGAGGATGCAGAGGATGAGGTTGAAAATGGCGAGGAGGAAGATGAGGATGGGCGGAGGATGGATGAGGAGAGCCAGGTCGGGAAGTAGGAGGATGAGGAGGGTGATGATGAGGATGAGCAAGGAGGGGGAGGAAATCGTTGGCAATTTGAAGAGACGGCCATGTTGGGAGTGCTCTACAGCTGGATGACAAACGCCGCGCAGCCCTGAATGATGCACCTCACCTGCCCTGGCCGAATATGAACCGAGCAACAGCTTCCTCTCCTCGGATGAGGGTCGCCCGCTTAAGCTGCAGGCGCAACGAAAACGAACCAACTTACATTGCATATACGCGAACTGGACGACATCGAAAGGCAAGCTGAAGGCGACGGGACGGCAAACGAGTCAAGGACACGCATGAGGATAGATCAAAGCGAGCTAAACAGCATGCTAAACAAGGCAAACAATCAACAGGTCAAACCAACGTTGCAAGTCAACAGCTCCTTCTATGCGAAGTAAGAAATCAAGGGATGCTCACGGGACCGTGGAATGGAGTGAACACCCCATGGGCCGAAGTGTGCTGGACACAATCCCACCGCCCCTCTGGGCGTCACTTGTTCAGGGTGCCCGCTCTTCCACGACATCTCCTTTTTTGCCTATCAGGGATAGGGGTTTTCCCTTCCACCTCCCCCCCGTCCAACCTGGCGAGTTCTGTATTAGATGCTCCTCCCTCCTCCTCTTCGTTCTTTTCTCGGGAGCGGCCAAGAGGGGAGTGTCCAAGAGGGGGGGGTGCAAATCATGACCGGCGGCATGTGCGCGGCCCAGCGGGGGGGGCCAGGGACGTAATGAAATAAGAAGAGGCGCCATGAAATCGGGGGAGATATCATGGCCCGCGCCATGATATCCTCCCCCTAGTCATCACCCCCCTCTTTTCCGCTCCCGACCCTGTCCAACCTGGCGAGTTCTGTAATAGATGCTCCCCCCTTTCCTCTTCGTCCTCTTCTCGGGCGCCTCACCATGTGCTGTTCCTTTCCCCCCCTCCTCCTCTTCGTCCTCTTCTCTTCCTCCTCCCTCCTCCTCTTCGTCCTCCCTCCTCCTCTTCGTCCTTTTCGTCCTCCTCTTCGTCTTCTGTATCAGATGCTCCCCCCTCCTCCTCTTCGTCCTTTCTCGGGCGCTTCACCATGTGTCGTTCCTTCCACCCGTATGTTGCCACATGCGCACCCCGGACTGCCCACGCGTCCGCTCGGATGCCTGGCTCTGCTTGCCTGTTCCCCCCGGACCTTATGTCGGGCGTGTCCCCCTATCGGGGGATTTTCGACGAAAAATAAAAAGTACCACAGAAAAACCCATAAAGGCAAAACAATAATCCCAACATGGTCCCCAGACTTTTTTTTATAATTATTTTTGGATTTTTTTTTAAAACAATTTCTTTTATTATATATTTATATAAAGACTTATTGTTTCGTCGAAAATCCCCCTGTAGGGGGACACGCCCGACTTAGCCCTGACCCTTCCCTGAAAGGTCCTGCGGCGTTGGAACGTCCCAGATGGCCCGGGATAGCTCGACGATGGCACCACACAATCTGCTATTGCTTCCAAGGTTGCGCGAACGCCAAGCATTGCTCGGAGGTCCCAAGGGCATCCCAACAGATCCGAAAAGGGGGGGGCTGAGAACTAATTCTACGGGCTCCGAATAATTTTAGGTCGGGCGTGTCCCCCTACAGGCGGAATCTGGGCGAAAAAATAATTATTCACTGCGTGGGGATCCCCATATGTGCATCTCCTTGCTGGCGCTCCCTTGGTGGTGGGACTCGGTGAGGACGAATCTGGATTTAAGTGTGACTGAGCTGCCTCTCTCTCTGCTCTCTCTGCTCTCTCTGTCTCTCTCTCTCTCTGCCCTCTCTCTGTCTCTGCCTCTCTTTCCCTGCCTCTCTCTCTCTCTGCCTCTCTCTCTGCCTCTGTCTCTCTGCCTCTCTCTCTCTCTCTGCCTCTCTCTCTGTGCCTCTCTCTCTCTCTCTGCCTCTATCTCTGCCTCTCTCTCTCTCTCTCTCTCCTCTCTCTCTTCTCTCTATTCTCTCTCTGCTCTCTCCTCTCTCTCTCACTCTCCCTCTCTCTCTCTCTCGCTCTCTCTCTTCTCTTCTCTTCTCTTCTCTCTCTATCTCTCTCTCTCTCTCTTCTCTCTTTCTCTCTCTATCTCTCTCTCTCTCTCTCTCTCTCTCTCTCTCTCGCTCTCTCGCTCTCTCTTGCTCTCTCTCGCTCTCTGTCGCTCTCTCTCGCTCTCTCTCTCTCTCTCTCGCTCTCACTCGCTCTCTCTCGCTCTCTCTCGCTCTCCCTCGCTCTCTCCCGCTCTCTCTCTCTCTCTCTCTCTCTCTCTCTCTCTCTCTCTCTCTCTCTCTCTCTCTCTCTCTCTCTCTCTCTCTCTCTCTCTCTCTCCCCCCCTCTCTCTCTCTCCACTCTCTCTCTCTCTCTCTCTCCTCTCTCTCTCTCTCTTCTATCTCTATCTCTCTCTCTCTTCTATCTTCTCTCTTCTCTCTCTCTCTCTCTTCTCTCTTCTCTCTTTCTCTCGCCTGTCTCCTCTCTCAACTCCCCCTCTCTCTCTCTCCGCTCTCTCTCTCTCTCTCTCTCCTCCCCCTCTCTCTCGCTTCCTCTCTCTCTCTCTCTCTCTCTCTCTCTCTCGTCACGGGCTCGTGAGATCAGCCAGGGTGGCTTCCCCTTGGGGCTCCCAAATGATGCCCCTGGCAGCGTTTTGTGACCATGAGGCTCTCAAGAGATACATGTTGGGGGCGCCAAACGGCAATTCTAGCTGAGGCGTCCCACCAAAATCGGCGCGAACGGGCTCGTGAGATCAGCCAGGGTGGCTCCCCCTTGGGGCTCCCAAATGATGCCCCTGGCAGCGTTTTGCGACCATGAGGCTCTCAAGAGATACATGTTGGGGGCGCCAAACGGCAATTCTAGCTGAGACGTCCCACCAAAATCGGCGCGAACGGGCTCGTGAGATCAGCCAGGGTGGCTCCCCCTTGGGGCTCCCAAATGATGCCCCTGGCAGCGTTTTGTGACCATGAGGCTCTCAAGAGATACATGTTGGGGAGGCCAAACGGCAATTCTAGCTGAGGCGTCCCACCAAAATCGGCGCGAACGGGCTCGTGAGATCAGCCAGGGTGGCTCCCCCTTGGGGCTCCCAAATGATGCCCCTGGCAGCGTTTTGTGACCATGAGGCTCTCAAGAGATACATGTTGGGGAGGCCAAACGGCAATTCTAGCTGAGACGTCCCACCAAAATCGGCGCGAACGGGCTCGTGAGATCAGCCAGGGTGGCTCCCCCTTGGGGCTCCCAAATGATGCCCCTGGCAGCGTTTTGTGACCATGAGGCTCTCAAGAGATACATGTTGGGGGCGCCAAACGGCAATTCTAGCTGAGACGTCCCACCAACATCGGCGCGAACGGGCTCGTGAGATCAGCCAGGGTGGCTACCCCTTGGGGCTCCCAAGTGATGCCCCCGGCAGCGTTTTGTGATCATGAGAGAGTGTGAGTGTGAGCTTAACTTATCTTATCTTATCTTGAAATCTTAGCTTATCTTATATCAACTCATCTTATCGCATCATATCGTGTCTTATCTTATTACTCCATAGGCTGTCTTATCTTATATATTACCCTATCCTACCATATCTTATGCTATCTTATCTTATCTTGTAGTATCTTATATTGTCTTGTCTTATCTGGTGATTATCATTGGGAGGAGGGAGGCGCGAGCGGGAGGAAGGAGGAGCAGTGGGAGGCGTCAGAGTAATAACAAGAACCCCAATCCTTAGGATATGGGGAAAAATACCTCCAAATTGCCCCAGAATCGCCGAAAATGGTCAACAAAAATCGCCCCCAGACTATTTTTCGACTATTTTTGAATATTCCTCCTGTAGAGGGACAAGCCCGACTTAAGAATAGTTCTGGCTTTGTCCTCCCTGCTTGGTCGCTGGCCGAGCTCCAAGATGGCCCCAGCGGCTCCAACACATGTCCCGCGAGCCCCGGGAGCCTTCAGCTGGCTGGCAGAAGGCCTCACGAAAGCCCCGAGGTGGCCCCGAGATGCCTCACAGCAGCTCCCAACTGTCCACCACGTTGGCAATGTATTCGGGCTACTTGCGCGGTCCTCCTCTGGTTTGACTGGTGCCCCGTCTCTCTGTTCTCTAATGTTCCTTCAACTGCATTCTCACGGCACCTTGCTCAACAGGGTCCTTCCCTTCTTTCCCTGGGGATCGACGATTAATTGTGTCTGTGTTTTTTTTCTCCTCCTGACTGGCGTCTCAGGCGAACAGGTGGCGGCACGTACATGGTGTAATCATCGGTGGGCAGCTGGGGCGGAGAAGCTGGGATAAACCATGGTCAAGCCTGTGCCTGACGTGTGGGCGCACAGGTGAAACTAGAAGACGGAAAAACGCCATAAACATAAACTTTTGGCGCTCCGCGCGGATTTCTTGGATCCGCGCTGGGCCCTCCCGGCGGCGCCTCTGGCGCCGCCCCTGGCGCGCTCCGCGCCAGCGGAAAGGGGGACCAACGCAGATCCAAGAAATCCGCGCGGAGCGTCACAATGTTATGTTTATGGCGCTTTTCTTCTTCGGACACGGGTGAAGCGTAGCGAGGTGTCTTTCAAACCTGCACCTGCATCTGGACCTACACGAAGACACGCTGCACCATTCATTCTTCGAGAGGTGTCTTTCAAACCTGCACCTGCATCTTGACCTGAACGAAAACACACTGCGCCATCGAACAACACCAATGAGCCAGCAGCAGTCTAAGTGTCAGACACACACACACACACGCACAAAGAAGCTACGAACAGAAAGAGCGCCCCTCAAATCTGGCGAGACTGGCCATGCCTTGCGTGCATCACCTGGTTTTCAGCGCTCTGAAGGACTCCAGCGCGTTCCTGTCTATCGCACCCGAGACGCCCCGAGCCAGCGTCACCTCGCGGGCGGCCCTCTCCAAGAGCGCGGCGCGCTCCGCGCGCTTGCCGGCGCTCGCCATCTCCTGCGGCGCCAGCGTCGGGAGCTGCTCGGGGAGGACTTCTCGAGACGCCACGCCCCTCATAACCAGCCTCGAGCTTATCCTTACCCCTACGATCGACAGGCCCAAGGCGATGATGATCTGAGGGATGCACCTTCAGAAACGGGGGGGATCCTTCGGATCATCACCGAGATGAGGGGATGCCAGCCATGGGGATCGGGATATGTTTCAGGCTGGTAACCTTACAAAATCTGGGTTCTTCGGGTCACGCAGGTTCCACAGGAGCGCGCGAAGCTGCGCGTACGGATTCGGGAGCTGCCTGCGGAACTCCCACGCGATCTCGAGCGCCAGGTCCGGCAACGAGTCTCGATGTTCCGAGGGCACCTCCTCTCGCCGCAGCGCCAACGCCTCCGACACCTTCGCCCGCACCTTCTCCCCATGTATCCGACGATGTGATTTTCTCTCAGCGCGGCCCGAGGGGTCCCGAACCCTTCCCCAGGACCAGTTTTCCGCCCTCGACCTTTCCTGGCGGCCCTGGGGTCCAGCAGCTAGAGGCCTCCTGGATGAGGCCGAGGATCGCGCCGCATCGCCGATGCATGGCCGATGCAGTGGCGATGCACTGCCAATGCCTCGTCGATGCACAGGCGCCGTCGACGTGGAGAAAATCATGCTCCACCTCCACATCCAACCGCATCGCCGATGCATCGGCCAGCGATGCGGCGCGATATCCGAGCACATCTACCTCGACCCCATCTGGAAAGCCTGGACCAACCGAGGCCGGAGGCTGACACCGACCGAGAAAGAACGCCAGGACTGCGCGGGGCCAGCATCTGCAAAGCCTCGAAAGAATGCGCCCGGAGGCCGACATCGAAGAAAACGCTGGGACTGGAGCAACAATCACATCGCCGGGGAGCTCTACTGGAGAAGCGCGCTCCACTACCCGCAAGGTAGCTGCTCGCAAATGGCCTGGATCCTCCGTTGGGGATTCACGATGCGTTGCATCGATGCAGACGAGTTTTTGTTGACGCTTGCGAGCCGGCACTTTGCGAGGCGTGGAAGGCGCCTGGTGATCTACAGGAGGACCTTCTCCACGACCGCCTCCGCCAGCTTTAGACGCCCGAAATGGGTACGGAAAAAATGGGTACAATGCCCAACAACAAATGTTGCCCCAAACCAACAGCGGCCGCTGTTGGGCAGGCGGCCTTCTGTCTCAAATGGACACGGGCCGCGGCGGCGCGGGACAAAAAATGGAATAAACATAACAATTCGGAGGTCCGCGCGAATTTCTCGGATCGGCGCTGGACCCCCCTCCCTGGCGCGCGGAGCGCGCCAGGGGCGGCGCCGGAAGCGCCGCCGGGGGGCCCCAACGCCGATCCGAGAAATCCGCGCGGACCTCCGAGTTGTTATGTTTATGTCACTTTTTGTTCCCCTAATTGTACCCATTCTTTCCGTACACATTTCGGGCGTCCAGAGCCTCCGCCAGCGCGTCGAAGCCCAGCGGCGCCAACTGGTGCCCGGGAGCGCCCGTGCTGCTGGAGGACGCTGCATCGCCTGGGGCGTCCTGCGGCAGCGGCGGCGCCTCCGGGGCTGCTCCCCGCGCGGCCGGGGGCGGGGCCCCGGGCCCCGCGCGCGGCTGGGCGGGGGCGCACACGACCCAGACCTCAGCAGAGGGGTCCTCCTCCTCCTCCTCCTCCTCCTCCTCCTCCTCCTCCTCCTCCTCCTCCTCCTCCTCGTCTCCTCCTCCTCCTCCTCCCTTCCCTCCTCTCCTCCTCTTCTCCTTTTGCTCTTCCTCCTCCTTCTCCTCCTCCCCCTCCTCCTCCTCCTCCTCCTTCTCCTCCTCTTCCTGCCCCCCTCCCCCGACCCCTGCAGGCCCAGACCTCCGACAGTTCTCTCCGCGGCGCGATTCAGCGCGTCCCCGAGTCCGCGGGGACGCCGTCCGCGTCTAACGGCGCACCGCGCACCGCGCTCGGCGCGGGAGCCCCCCAAACGTCCGGGGGACCCAATTTCCGTTTCGGAAGGTGGAAGAGAGGGGAGGCCGCCGTGTCCTTCCAATATCCCGAAGTATGTCAACGAGGATGAAAAGGGAAGAGTGGGCGGCGGGGCCGCTCAGATGATCGTGGTGTTTATGCCGGCGGCTTCTCTTGCGGGTAGTTTTGTGCTCGGGATACTTTTCGGTAGCGCTGGAGTCGAAGTGCGGGGGTAATGGTGTACTTGTAATGCAACCTGTAACATTTGGCATCGCAGCCTGTTTGTATCCCCTGCGCTCTACGGAATGGCGCGCGCTGGAGCAGGCAAGTCGTGCCATCCAGCCAGCAGACCATGGCGGACGCCTCGTCCAGCTTATCCACAACGCAGTCGTGGCGCGTCTTGCTGAACCTGCCCTGTACTGCGCCGTCGATGGCAATCGGCTTCTGTATGTGACTGGGCCTCCAGCTGGGGCTCGGTTGATCTTCCTCTAATTGGACTGAAGCTCCAGGTTGTCCTGCGTCTTCTCGCTGCCAGTGGGCGCCCTCGTCGCGTAGTGCTCCCTGTGGCCTTCGAAGCTCCACTGGTATCTCTCGTAGCTCACCTGGTGGCCCCGAAGCTCTGCTCGCGGCTTGTTGCCCGCGTGGCTCAGTAGTTGGCCTGGTAGCTGAGCTGGTGGCCCTCGAAGGTGTGCTCGTTGTTCGTGGTCCTTGCAGTTCAGCTCGTCGCCCAGGTAGCTCTGCCAGGGGATCTCGTAGTCCTGCTTGTGGCCCTCGTAGCTCAGGTTGAGGCCCCCGTCTTTCAGCAGGCGGCCCTCGTAGCTGCGCTGGTGGCTCACGAAGGTCTGCTTGCGGCCTTTGCAGGTGCAGGTCGGCTCGTCGCCCAAGTGGCTCTGATGGAAGATCTCGTTGTCCTTCTTGTGGCCCTCGCAGCTCAGGTTGTGACCCTCGAAAAAATAGTTCAGCAGGTTGCCCCTCAAGCTCTGCTCGCGGCCCTCGTAGATCAGCTTGTTGCCCGCGTAGCTCAGCAAGTGGTCGTCGTAAGTGAGCTGATGGCTCACGAAGGTTTGCTCGTGGCCCTTGCAGTGCAGCTCGTCGCCCTGGCAGCTCTGCCGGAGGCTCTCCTCTTCTGCTTGTCGCCCGCGTAGCTCAGGTTATGGCCCATCGTAGCTCAGCAGGTTGCACATCGTAGCTGAGCTGGTGGCTCACGAAGGTCTGCTCGTGACACTTGCAGTTCGGCCCGTCGCCCTCCTAACTCTGCAGGGGGCTCTCGTAGCTCTGCTTCTGGCCCGCGTAGCTGAGGTCAGGACCCTCGTAGCTCGGCAGGTGTCCCCCGTAACTCGGGGGCTGGTCCTCGTAGCTCTGTTTATGGCTTTCGTAGTTCAGCGCGTGGTCCTGGTAACTCAGCTTGTGGTTCTCGTAGCTCGGCTGGTGGCTCTTGTTGCTCAACAAATGGCCCTTGTGATTCTGCGTCGTCCTCGGTCTTAAATCCGTGTTCCTCGTAGTCCTCCTCCTCGTCTGCCTGCTTGTTCTCCTCCTCGTCTGCCTCCGTTGCCTCAACGTGGTCCCAGTCGGAGTCGTCGGCTGCCAAGTGCTCCGCTCTCACGTTGCCTGCCTGGGGCCCTCAATTCCCAGCCGGTGGCTCTAGTAGCGCTGCTGGTGGCCCTAGTGGCTCTGCTCGTGTTCCAGCTGTCCTTCTTGACGTCGCAGCCCTGCTGGTGGCCCTCGAAGCCCAACCGGTGGCTCTAGAAACACTGCTGCTTGCTCTCGTAGCTCAGCTGGTGGACTTCGGAGCTCACTAGGTTGGCTTCCGTAGAACATCTGTCAGGGCGAACCAACCCCGTGTGACAGAACTTCTGGCCGTACTGGTCGTGCTGGTCCTGGTCGCGGTTGCTGCCAGTGCCGTACGGAGAGTCGTGCAGGTCTCGGGCGGGTACCTCTACGACGGTGTACTTCGCCTCTGGCACAAGCGGCCTCGAAGCTGTAGTCGGGATCCCCTGTCTTCTGCCACTGGGTGCATGCGCGTAGGGCTTTACCCGGGTGCACTCTGCCGTCGTAACCTCGTTTTTGCTGGCGCACCTGGTGTCGTACTTGTTGTGGGCAGATTGGTGACGATCATCATGTCTTGTGGGTTTGGTTGGAGCCCGCATCTCACACAATACCCCATCCGCTTCAGACCTGCCGCTGTTCTCCGTCTCGGCATGGCGTCTGTCGGTAGGTCCCCGCACATAGTGGGATGAACTCGTAGTATGGGAAGTTCGCGAAGCTCGGCCTGTAGATCCATGACGTTCAGCCTGGAGATCTTGTGGTCTAGCCTGTGGATCTTGAGGTTCAACTTATAGGTCTTGGTCTTGTTCGAGGCGTTCGCGCCCAGCCACCCTTGCGGCGGCTCGCTGAAGCCAGGCCCGCCTCCCCCCCCGTGAGTCTGGGCGCGCGGCGCGGGGGCACGGGGCCAGAAAGGCCTTCCTCCGACATCTTCTGCTCCTCCTCCACCTCCTCCTCCTCCTCCTCCCCCTCCTCCTCCTCCTCCTCCTCCTCCTCCTCCTCGCCATCATCGCTCCCCTCCTCACAATCATCCTCTTCTCCGTCCCCTCCTCGTGCTCCACGTTCTCGCCTCTGCCGAGCCTCTCTGTGCCTCGAGGAGCAGCGCAACACATGCACAGAGGCGCCTCTTCCAGGGGCTCCCAACTTCGCGCCTCGCGCTGCGCGAAGCGCGAAGTGCGAATAACTCCGCGCTCTCGCGCCGCCTCCTGGGGGAGAAGAGGAGGACGAGGAGGAATCGGCGCCGAACCGCGAAGCGCCGCTTCGCGCTGCGCGGAACGCGAAGTGCGGATAACTTCGCGCTCTCGCGCCGCCTCCTAAGGGGAGAAGAGGAGGACGAAGAGGAAGCGGAGCCGAACCGCGATAGCGCGAAGAACTTCGCGCCCTCGAGGGCAAGCCTTGCCCTTCCGACCCCGTGCCCCGAGGAGGGGCGAAGGGGTGCCCCGCAGCTCCCCTGCTGGGAGCTTTCCCCGAGTCTCGGCTTACGTCGGGCCTGTCCCCCATACAGGGGGATTTTCGACGAAAAATAAAAATACGCCAATAGTCTGGGGACTATTTTGGGGGTATTTTTTGACTTTTTTGGGGGTATTGTTTGGGGTATGTTTTATTCTTCGTCGAAGCTCCCCCTGTAGGGGGACACGCCCGACAGAAGCCTCGGCGCCCGGGGGCCACCGCTGCGGGCCCCCCCGGGGGCCACCACGCAGGGGCACCTAGGGCGGCAGGCTGGCCCCCTGGGCAGGGGGCCGGGGCCCCGGGGGCCGCGCACGGAAGAGATCACATCGTCGTTGGGCGTCTGGCAGCAGGGGGGGAGGAGGAGGAGGAGGAGGAGAGGAGGAGGAGGAGGAGGAGGAGGAGGAGGAGGAGGAGGAGGAGGAGGAGGAGGATTTCACTGTATGCTGCTGCAGACGGCACTGCAGGTGAATGCGTGGACGGCTGCAGGGTGAAGGGTGCCAAGCACCGAATTAGAGAGAGCGCTTATAGCAACGAAAGTCAGCGCAGAAAATTAAAAGGCCAGAGGAGGTTGGAACACCCTGGGGGTGGGAACCAACAGTCCTTTGGGCAGGTGGCCCTGCCTGCTCCCACAGACCCCGAGTGGGGTGGAAGCAAGTGGTGCGGCCTCAGCGCGCTAAAGCTGAACGACGGGCTCCTGCCCATAATCCCACACACACGAGAGCTCTGCTGCGGGGGCAATCCTTTGCGAACTCGCTGCAAAGCCTGCAGCTGTTAGGGGAAATACGGTGCGGCCCGTCCAAGGCCACAACGCAACCAGCTAACAGGTTGACTGGTCGCTGCGTGGCCCACGCACCACACAAGCCACAACACGCACCACACAAGCCACAACATGTATATTTACCTTTATACCACAGCTCATGTGAAGAAGACAACTGCTGCCCTGCCATGAAAGCAGGGTGGGCTACGAGCACAGGCGGGTCTTCCATGCCAAGCCTGCTCCAGAGGGCACCGCCGATCGGGGCCAGGGGCCCTGGCGCAGACCCCAGACGGGGGAGCGGGACAGGGGCCCTCGGAGCCAGGGCCGCGCAGGCCGAAAGGAGACGGTTCCGACCCCCCCGAGTCTTTTCTTTGGAATGGAGCCCGCATTCAGAGCAGCGCCAGAGACCAGGCGCGTGCAGTTCAAACTGGTGCTGCGATCTGCTCACAAAAGGCTACTCGTTTCTGTCGAAGGGCGAGCAGCCTCGGAGCCAGTTCTTTCACGACCACGCGCTCCTGGTTCTTAGGCTTACTCGCGACCTCTAAGGTGAGAGTGGCAATCTGGAGCAAGACCTGCTTGGCCTTCAGCTCAAGCACCAACAAAACCTGGCACTGGTGCTCGGGAACCTGGTGCGCATCTGCTTTACTGGCGGCGAGCTCGTCCGCCACGCGATTGATATAGACATGATATGGGTCAGTAGTTCTCCAAATTCGCTCAAACTCGTCCGAATTCTCGGCTAAATGTGACGGCACATGCACTAGCTCAAGGGGGGCAGGCCTTTTACTGGCCAGCACCCAGAACTCCCACCACAGGTCAGTCAGCACTGGCGAGGTGTAGGCAGTGATTCCTGCCTTTGTAAAAGGCCTTGGCATGATTTATTTGGTCACAAACAATCGCGAGCGATTCAGACCACCTGGCATGGCGTACAATCTCCACCAGAGCAGTGAGCTCTGCTCTGGCAACACTCTGGCGGGAGCTGTCACAGACACCTGCAGCTCCATGGCTCCAGGAAGGCACTCCGTCCTCATCAACCTCCAGGCGAGCGAAACCAAACGAGACTCTGCGGAGAAGCGGGTGCTGCGACCACTGTCCGCCTGCACCATCGGAGCCATAGGTAGTAGTAGTAGTAGTAGTAGTAGTAGTAGTAGTAGTAGTAGTAGTAGTAGTAGTAGTAGAGTAGTAGTAGTAGTAGTAGTAGTAGTAGTAGTAGTAGTAGTAGTAGTAGTAGTAGTAGTAGTAGTAGTAGTAGTAGTAGTAGTAGTAGTAGTAGTAGTAGTAGTAGTAGTAGTAGTAGTAGTAGTAGTAGTAGTAGTAGTAGTAGTAGTAGTGTAGTAGTAGTAGTAGTAGTAGTAGTAGTAGTAGTAGTAGTAGTAGTAGTAGTAGTAGTAGTAGTAGTAGTAGTAGTAGTAGTAGTAGTAGTAGTAGTAGTAGTAGTAGTAGTAGTAGTAGTAGGTAAGTAGTAGTAGTAGTAGTAGTAGTAGTAGTAGTAGTAGTAGTAGTAGTAGTAGTAGTAGTCGTAGTAGTAGTAGTAGTAGTAGTAGTAGTAGTAGTAGTAGGTAGTTAGTAGTAGTAGTAGTAGTAGTAGTAGTAGTAGTAGTAGTAGTAGTAGTAGTAGTAGTAGTAGTAGTGGTAGTAGTAGTAGTAGTAGTCGAAGTAGTAGTAGTCGAAGTAGTAGTAGTATTGTAGTAGTAGTAGTAGTAGTAGTAGTAGTAGTAGTAGTAGTAGTAATAGTAGTAGTAGTAGT